GCTCCGCCAGCCCCGCTGCCCGCCTGCCCGCCCGCCGGGTCGGCCCAGAGCGAGCCTCAGACACCAGCCGAGGGGGTCATGAGCCAGTGCGCCCCGGGGCGCCGCCGGGAAAGCGAGCGAAGATAGCGGCCTCGCGTCCCCCTGGCCCTCGCTGCCTTGCCGCGCGTCCCCCACGTCCCCAGCCCCTTCTGTCCTTTCCTCGGGTCCCGCCGCCACCATGGCGACCCTACTCCGCAGCAAGCTGTCCAATGTGGCCACGTCCGTGTCCAACAAGTCCCAGGCCAAGATGAGCGGCATGTTCGCCAGGATGGGTTTTCAGGCGGCCACGGACGAGGAGGCGGTGGGCTTCGCGCACTGCGACGACCTTGACTTTGAGCATCGTCAGGGCCTGCAGATGGACATCCTGAAAACCGAAGGCGAGCCGTGCCGGGACGAGGGCGCCGAACCGCCCGTCGAGGGAGACATCCATTACCAGCGCGGCGGCGGCGCGCCCCTGCCACCCTCGGGCTCCAAGGACCAGGCCCTGGGAGCTGGTGGCGAGTTTGGGGGCCATGACAAGCCCAAGATCACGGCGTGGGAGGCGGGTTGGAATGTGACCAACGCTATCCAGGTGAGCGCGGGATTCCCAGCTCTGCTTGCCACCCCCCACCCCCAAGTTCTGTGCACCAGGCTCTACCCTCAGCTGAGTCCTCTGGCGATCTGGGCCTCGAGATCCCCTCCTGTATCCGGGATCTCTCCTTCTCCCATCCCTCCTAGCCCTGCGTGGGAATCTATGCCCCCAGGCGATGTCTCGATCTGGCACCCCACACGCGGCCCTAGCCGCAGGACAGCTAGGCTGAGGTTCAGTCAGTGACTCTAGCCCTGAGACCCTGCAAAAGCGAGGGAAACAGGACAAGGGGGAGTGGGGAGGAGTGAGGAAGAAAGAAAATCAGGATTGGACGGAACAGTATCGCCTGGGACTCCGGAATGGATTCACAGCTGCATTTTCGGGAGAAAAAGAGAGGGAGGAATCGCTGAGCTGGGAGTCCCCTCCCTTGACACACGCGAAACACACGCATAGACACCACGCATATGCATAGGCAGGCCCACATGCCCACAGCCCCCTCCCCCACGAAAAAACGCTGGTCACAAGTGCACACGACATACATCTATATATAGATCACACGATTGTCCTCGAACGCACGAATTTTATACACCCCTACACCTCCCCTCTACAGAAACACATAACTGTACATACCAAGGGCACAATCGTAAACCCGTTTGAAGATAACACATAAACGCACAGACTCATGCATACGCTCTCACGTGCAGCCCTGTCGGGGACAAACAAGTATACGCAAGCACACACACACACGTGTGACCACATAAGCACAATATGGCCACTAGTACCTCAGCGCTACCTGCACACAAGACTCACCCTTCTCGCCCGAAATCCCGGTTACACCGCAAAGTGGGGACCAGCTCCTTCGTGTGTGACCCTGGCGAAGCCGCCTCGAGATGCTCTGAACCGCCTCTGGTCGCCCGGCTCGCCACCCTGTCATCCCTACTCTCAACCCTCAATCCCCACTAGGGGGCGCCCTACTCCGCCGGGAGGGGGTTTAAAGTATGCACAACGACCCCCGAGAGCTGGCGATGGCGGGCAGGCCCTGGCTCCCGGAGCAGAGGTGGCCTGAGCCCTAGGCGTCCCCGGACCCTGCGGCTGCACCCTACACCCCTGCCCCTGGCGTCCCCAGAGCGCATGGTCATTGGGGCGCAGAACGTGGGTTTCTCGGTAGCTGGAGGCCGCGACGGGGTTGTTCAGGGACCCGGGCTCCCCAGGGCTCCGTGGGCCCCTGCGCGTTAAGTGGACCCACCCGAAGGGCCTCCCACTCCAGGACGGGGCGGGACGGCCACGCGGAACCGAGGACCGGAGACCGCACCTGTCTCCGTTGCCGCTCGCACCTTCACCTGGGGCGTCTTTGAAGGCCCGTTCTGGAGGCCTAGAGGGAGGCCGGGGTGGGAGGCTGGAGGCCTGCAAGTCTCGAGAGCCCTGGATTTCGTTAGCTTTGCTTCCCCGTGTGGATTCTAAACCCTCCTTCCACAGTTCTGCACCCCGGATCCCACAGCTTCAGGTTACAGACTCCCGCTTGATTGCGCCTTTCACAAAGCACTCGTCTTTTCCCCGTAGGCCCCTAATCCTGCTAGTCTCTAGCACTTCCACGTCGTCCCCTTCCTTAGGAATGCATCTCTCCGATGAAATTCCTGCCTGGCCCAGAGGCTCCCCAACCCAGCCTCCCTAGCCCCGCACCTCTGGCCTCACCCCTAAAGCCCTTCACCAGCAACCTCAGGTTCCCTCTGTTCTGTCCTCCCTGCGGCTTGCCCCACACTGAGCCCCTCTTCCTCCCTGCTGTATCTCCTTCCCCTCCCACTGCTGCTTTTAACGGTCCCTTCTCCAGTTCCGCCCTTAGACACCTGCGTTTCCCTCGTTAGCTTCCTTGCACCCCATTCCAGCCCCACCTAAGACTCCGTGCCCCCTTTTCTTAGTGGCTGAGGCTCTGGTCTCTCTCTACCTTTCTCCTCGCCTTTTACCGGCCAAGCCCCCTCCAGCCCCTTCTCATCTTCTTCCTGGTCCCCACTCCTGATTTTGTCCCCAGGAGCCACCCCCAAGGGTCTCCTCATACACCTTCCCTCTTTGTGACTTGACCCCAGACTCGGCCTCCTCCTTACCTCCCAGCCATTAAGCACAACTTTCTTTCTCTGTTCCGTCCTTAAACAGTTCCCCCTCCATCTGACTCAACAGCGAGGCTCCCCATTAGGCCGCTCTACATCCCCATTCCAGCCTACCCTTAACCTCTCCTCGCTGTGGCTTGGGCCCAGTTCTCACTCTCCTTAGCGCCGCCTTCTGGCTACAGCCTTAAGTCACTCCCCTAGACCCTCTCCCCCGAGACCGCTTCCACTAAGCGCCGGGGTCTGGTTGCCTCTTCGCTCCGCAGGGCATGTTTGTGCTGGGTCTGCCCTACGCCATCCTGCACGGCGGCTACCTGGGATTGTTCCTCATCATCTTCGCCGCCGTGGTGTGCTGCTACACCGGCAAGATCCTCATCGCTTGCCTGTACGAGGAGAACGAGGACGGCGAGGTGGTGCGCGTACGGGACTCGTATGTGGCTATCGCCAATGCATGCTGCGCTCCGCGCTTCCCCACGCTGGGCGGCCGCGTGGTGAACGTGGCGCAGATCATCGAGCTGGTGATGACTTGCATCCTGTACGTGGTGGTGAGCGGCAACCTCATGTACAACAGCTTCCCAGGGCTGCCGGTGTCGCAGAAGTCTTGGTCCATCATCGCCACAGCGGTGCTGCTGCCCTGCGCCTTTCTTAAGAACCTCAAGGCCGTGTCCAAGTTCAGCCTGCTGTGCACTTTGGCCCACTTCGTCATCAACATTCTGGTCATTGCTTACTGCCTATCACGGGCACGCGACTGGGCCTGGGAGAAAGTCAAGTTCTATATCGATGTCAAGAAGTTTCCTATCTCCATTGGCATCATCGTGTTCAGCTACACGTCGCAGATCTTCCTGCCTTCGCTGGAGGGCAACATGCAGCAGCCCAGCGAGTTCCACTGCATGATGAACTGGACACATATCGCCGCCTGCGTGCTCAAAGGCCTCTTCGCGCTCGTCGCCTACCTCACCTGGGCCGATGAGACCAAAGAGGTCATCACGGATAACCTGCCCGGTTCCATCCGCGCCGTGGTCAACATTTTCCTGGTAGCCAAGGCGCTGTTGTCCTACCCGTTGCCCTTCTTCGCTGCTGTCGAGGTGCTGGAGAAGTCGCTCTTCCAAGAAGGCAGCCGCGCCTTCTTCCCCGCCTGCTACGGGGGCGACGGGCGCCTCAAATCGTGGGGGCTGACGCTGCGCTGCGCGCTGGTCGTCTTCACGCTGCTCATGGCCATCTACGTGCCGCACTTCGCGCTGCTCATGGGCCTCACCGGCAGCCTCACCGGCGCCGGCCTCTGCTTCCTGCTGCCCAGCCTCTTCCACCTGCGCCTGCTCTGGCGCAAGCTGCTGTGGCACCAAGTCTTCTTCGACGTCGCCATCTTCGTCATCGGTGGCATCTGCAGCGTGTCTGGCTTCGTGCACTCACTGGAGGGCCTCATTGAGGCCTACCGAACCAACGCGGAGGACTAGAGCGAGTCCCGGCTGCACTCCCGCGCTCCCCTCCCCTCCCGACCAATCCCATCCCCACCAGCCCTGTGCGCCCTGCCGCCGCGCTTGGGAAGCCAAGCTTTAAACATCTCTGGTTCCTAATTTCTGATTTTGGGGGTTGGGGGCGGGGGGGGGATAGGGATCCACAATCCATCGCGTCTGCGTTTCTGTTGTCCTTTCTTTTCCACAACACCCTGGTTTCCAGGAAGGCGAGGGCGCATTTATGGGCAGAGTATTCTGTCCTTCCGGGAGAGGCCCCAACACTTTGATCCCTGTCACCGAAAGGGGTGGGAAGGGAGGGAGAGGGGGCGCAGCTCCCAGGCTCAGAAACTTGACCTTGGGGTACACTTCATAGCCATCCGTGCTCGGAATCTGCAACGTCCAGCCATTTCCAGCAAGAGCGCTTCCCATTTCGGAGACATTTCAACCCTGCATCGGGAAAGGCTGGCCGGGAAATCCGTTTCGGGTGGGCGATTTCCTTGCGCGAAGCCGGGAGGCAAGAAGCCGGGGCGGGGCCGGCTTGCTTGCCGGTTTTCAGGAACCCAAACTCATCTTGTGCAATTCATCAGGTTGTGGAACTGTTCTACTGTGCGTGTGGTGTGCTCGTGGTGAATAAGATGAAATGTATATCAGAAAAAAATCTCTCTCTAATTTATAGTGCGGTGCATAATTATATCCGCAAATAAAGAAGAAACAAAGGCACTCGCGGCCTTGTCTGTTTTACATTTTCGAACCCGCGGGGATCCCCGCGCTGAGCGGCGGAGAGAACGGACTCTGGCCCGCCCGGTGAAGCAAGTGGGGAAGAGAAGCAGCTGGAGAGCCCTGGGAGAACTCCAGGCAGTGTGAAGGATGGTCAGCACCAAGGAGAGGCTCTCCAGGTGCTTGAGGGATGGGGGAGGACTCGGGGGAAGGCGCATGTGGTCCGCCCAAGGTTTCGGTTTCAGTGTGGCCTTGGCCCCCCCAGTTGCCAGGACAAGGTTATTTCCAAATCTCTCCGGGGAGGGGGAGGTTGAATCCATGTGAAATTTGGTGGATGCTCCCAAGTTCCAATCCTTTAAAAAAAAAACGAATTTTTTAATTTACGTACAGAAAGCACTACACTGTGGTTTAACAAATATTTGGAGAGGGTTTCATCAGAGCTGGGACTGTGCTGGCTGCCAGGAGAAACAAACTCAGCCCTGCCCCCCTGGAACTTACAGTCTAGTAGAGGAGAAGCAGGCAATAAACAGGGACACAGCAGTCTACAACATGCCTACCAGCTGTGAAGAGAGCTATAAAAGAAGTCAACAGCGAGTTGTATAGTTCCCAGGATGGATGCCAACCTGGCCTCCCAGGTATCTCTCACCCTGGAGGAACCCCACCCCACCCCCAAGTCTGAGCTGGAGTTTACACAGCCACAGTGAAGAGATCTGGCTGTTTGGAAACATCAGCCGTAATCATTCCCGTCCCAGCCTCCTCTTTTCTTGAGCAGCCTGTCTGAGAATGTGTTTGCTTAAATTACCCAGAGGATCCCATTCTTTTTGGGCAGATCCAACTCCAGGGGCAGCCCTCCTGCTGCCTCCAGGAGAGCCAGTCCTGGGGACGTTGGAAAGGGTCGTGGTCACTCTCCAGTTGGGATCTGGGAACTCGGGGAAGGCTGGACCTTTCCTGGGGCTTTCTCTCACTGCGAGAGAAGGCACGCGGGAGGTTCTTAGTCTTTACCACCAAGACAGAGGCCTCATTTGGAACGATTTCTTCTGGTGCGATGGGCGCGCGGGAAAGAATTGGGAAAATGCCGAAGTACCCTGGCCATTTCTCCCTGACCACTGCGACGGCACGCGTGCGTATATGCTTGTGTGAGAGAGCGCGCCTACTGGAAGTTAAGCGCGGCCTGTAGGAGGGGTGGGGGGAGGGGTGGGTAAGGGTGGGGTGGGGGTGGGGCTGTATCTATGTCTTGTGAAAGTCTTGATGAACGTGTGTGAGTGCTTATGTGTGCAGGGTATCTGTGAGCGCCTGCTTGCGACAGAGGTGACCTCTCATTGCGCTGGTTCTGTAGTCACCGAATGGGAGAAGAGCAAGAAGGATAAAATTCCGTCCCTTCGGCCGCTCGAGGCTCTGACGATTTAAACTGGCCATTTGGGATGTCCCCTGTCACCCGCCTAATACCCCTTTGTCACTATTGTCGCAAATTCAGGATCCGGATCTGGCCAGAGGATTCTCAATTTCCAGCCCCTCTAATGCTCTCTGATATTTCTGAGGCCTGGAAAGCTAACTGTTCATCCTCCAGCGCCGCTTCCACTGCTTCTTAGCGGGTCCACCCACTCTGCGGCGCGCTCTGAGTCGGAACTCAGTCTGTAGCCTTCAGAAAAAGCCTGGACTTCTGCAGTGGACGTGAAAGCGGGAGCGTCACGCTGCACCAGCTCTGTGCTTCCCGTCTTTCAAAGGACAAATGAGACACCAGGCAGGCCCCAGACTGCAGCTGCCACCTCCGCGGATTCGCCTGGATCCGCTGCACTGTATTCTGGCTCCAGGCTTTGTGCTCAGCTTCAGGAGCTTGAGTCCCCCCCACCTCCACCCTCTTCGCGGGTCCAGAAAGGCTGAGGCTGGAAAGCCGTGCTCCTAGGCGCCCCAGGGGAAACTCTTACCCCTCGTGGGCAAGATACCCATCGCCAGATTCTAATTCAGGCCGATGGGAGAAATAAGGAGCAGGAAAAAAGGCACCCATCTCTGCATAGCCCCCAACAGCAAAGTGCATGGGTGGAAGCTGAGAACTCCTGAGCTCTCCTAGGTCCGTGATGAGCTCGCAGTACCAATCTGAGGGAGGTGAATAGGCCCCGTAAGGTTAATTCCGGGGTCGATTGAGGAGGGAAGGAATCCACTCAAGGACCGTGCACCCTGCCCCCTACCCCGGGTTCCATCAGTTCTCATCTGTTATTAGAAGAGTCCTGGCTCAAGGCGCTTCTGACCTTGACCCAGCCCAGGACCTTGGGAACCACCAAGACCTTGACCCCCAGTGGAAGCCTTGACCCAGTTGGGAGCTAGCCCTGCCTGGACCCCAGCGGTGAGAGCTCAGGCTGCTGGCACTCACAGAAGGGTCTCCACCTTTAGAATTCTCTCCCTCCCTCCCTCTCTCTCTCTCTCTCTCTCTCTCTCTGTGTGTGTGTGTGTGTGTGTGTGTATTTAATGGAGGTACTGAGAATTGAACACAGGACCTCATGCATGCTAAGCACGGTGCTCTACCACTGAGCTATCCCTCTCCCCCCACAATTTAAAAAATTTTTAAATATAAACAATTTAATCTTGATCTTGATTATTGAAAAAAACTTTTGCAACTTCTTAAATTTTGCTCTCTTAGCAAATGCCTCACTTTTTTACACTAGTCCCAGCCCTGGGTGTGAGGTAGAGCTTGAGAAATGAGTTCTACTCCCTGGAAGTTTGGATTGAGACTTTTCAAGAGTCTGGTTGCAGTTGATACTACAGTGGTGCTGTGGTCGCCACTTCTGCCAGTTGTGGGGTCCAGGAGGGACCAGGCAAGGATGGTCCTCTGGCCATGAACACCCAGCAGGATGATCCAGCAGTGCTCAGCCATATGGGCTTCCAGCAGCTCCCAGCAACCCTCTAGGGGTGAAGTGAAAACAGGGTAAAGAGACTGAGGATGCTGCAGAGGGCATGGTACGGACTGTAGACTAGGGAAGGAAGCACAGTCCAAAGGGAGAGTGCAATGAAAGGAATGACTATTGTTTCCTGGTACCTGGCACAAATTCTGGTAGGCACAAGGATTTTTTTTTATCAAATGTTTATTGAGTACCTACTATAGGCCACACACTGGACTAAGGACTGTTCTAGGCCCCCGGGATGCAGCAGTAAACAAGATAGACCTGGCTTCTGTGGGAGGGGTCAATACCCCATCCTATGTCCTTACATATATCTGAGTTCACCTGAAGCTGTGGACACTTCTCAGGAACCTGACAGTGAACGATGACAAAGCGCCTCCCTCCATCTGTCTCTCTTTTCCTCTGCCTGAGGGCTTTCTAGGGTACCTTGGAGCCCAACTTGGAATTGCTGGGGAGTTAAAAGCCCCCAATACTCAATTGTCAATAACTGCACATCTCCTGTCCTGTGATGGGATTATTTACGGTCTATTCTAGAAGGTATCTCAGATGGTTCCCAGCAGGACTGAACCACATATGTCCATGAGCTCATCAAAATACATTTTATTTGCCTTTGTCCCCCTTCCCTGTCTCTGTTTCCCTACTTCCTCACTTGTCCTTCCTGGGAGCGCCTTCCAGATGATTAAGTGCACCTGAGTCTTTCTCGCAGCATCTGCTTTTGGAGAAAGCTAAACACAGACAGCTCCTGTATTCACAGTGCTTGTAGTTTAGGGTGGTAAGTCCCAAATATCTATCCTTAGACAGGTGCCAGGCAAGGTGAGTCAGTATCTGGGCTGCAATCCACACTGGGTGGTGCAAGACCCTGGAGCATTGATTCTCATACTTTGCTTCCTTTTACAGTCTCCTGGGGAGATTATAAAGTTCCCCATGCCTGGGTCTCACCTCATATAAGGAAATCAGAATCTCTGGGGGTGGGGTGCAGACATCAGCACTTTTCAAAGCGCCCCACTCAGCAGTCACGAGTTTAAAGCAATGATCAAATTGTGCTGGGTGGGAATTTATAGATTCCCTGCCCGAACAGTGGGGTAAGTTCTGGGTTAGATCTCTCCACCTTGCCTTTCTGTGGGGAACTCCCTTGTCCATCGTTCTCAAGGCTCTTGGCTTTGATCTCTGAGTTCTTTCTTATCCATGATCCTCTTGAGAATTTAGGAGAGCACCCCCTCCTCGAGGTGGCACAACATTCACACCTGGCTTCCTCCTGGTGCAGGTTTGGGACCCTACGGTTACCTTAGAAGTCAAATACATAAAGAAAATTGGAGTCCAGGCTCGTGGTTTCTTGCCAATACAATTCCCTCAAAACTAAGTGTTACAGGTTGAATTATGCCTCTCAAAAAGATGTGTGGAAGCCCTAACACCTCATTCCTGAGAATCTGATCTTATCTGGAAATAGGATTGTTGCAGATGTAACTAGTTAAGATGAGGTCATACTGAGGTAGGGTGGGTTCTTAATCCAATAAGACTGGTATCTTTATAAGAGGAAAAGAGATACAGAGAGACACAGAGAGAACACCACATGACAATGGAGGCAGAGTGTGGAGAGATGGGTCTACAAGCCAAAGATTGCCAGCAACACCAGAAGCTCAGAGAAAGACATGGGTCAGATTCTCCTCTAGAGCCTTCAGAAAAAGCATGGACCTACTGATTCCTTGATTTTGGAATTCTAGCATCCAGGACTGAGAGAGAATAAGTTTCTGTTGTTTTCAGCCATTCCAGTTTGTGGTATTTGTTATGGCAGCCCTAGGAAACTAACACAGTGAGCTTCTGATCTATCTTCTAGTCACTTCCATGGGCAAATAATCACAGCCATGGGTTTTGTCTGATGCTACTTTGTGCAACAGAGTAGCCACTAGCCAAATATGGCTCTTTAAATTTAAATAAAAATGAAATAAAATTAAAAATCCAGCTTCTCAGTTGCACCGCTAACATTGCAAGTGTTCAGTGGCCACATATGGTTAGTGGCTGCTGCATTAGACATAGCGGATTGTAGAACATTTCCATCAAGGCAGGAAGTACTACTGAACACTACTGGTATAGTGTATCAGTCAGTTTTCTCCTGCAATAATGCTGCACAGCAATCCTAGACTTTCAGTGGATTATAAGAACAAATGCTTTTCTTATTCATGGGTCCATGGGACAGCTCAACTTTAGGTGCCAGGTTGGCCAGACTTGGCTCCTGCTACAGTCTGTGTTGGGTCTCCTCCACGTGACTCTCACTATCTTTACTCAGGGCATGTTCTTCTCATGACCAAAAGCAGGAGAGTAAGAGGGCAGTCTAAGCCACACAAGTGCATTTAAAGCCTCTGCTCAGATAAAATTTGGCTAACAGTCCACTGGCTAAAAGCAAGTCACACGGCCAAGCCAAATATTGATGCCTACAGTGACAGGCCCTACAAAGTTACATGGCAGGTGGTATGGATGTATAATCCTATTATGGAGGAGTGAAGAACTGGGAACAATAATCCAGTCTACCTCACCTATACATAGTGCTTCCCCTCACCCCTGAAAAGGTAATACTTTCATACAGTTAAAAAAAAATCAAAAGTATATCCAAAAGTATGCTGTGAGAAAGTCTCCCATACCTGACCCACTCACCTTGTCCCTTTTCTTTACAGGTAAACTCTTTTTTAAAACATTTTTTTTATTGAGTTATAGTCATTTTACTACAGGTAAACTCTTTTTATTGGTTTCTTGTCTGTCTGCATGAAAATGCAAGCAAAACCATATATATTTGCTCCCTCTTCCCCTTTCTTAAAAGGACTTCCCTATAAACGGCACTGTCTTCTCTTATTTCTTTAAAAAATCTATCTTGGAGATTTTTCCATATAAGTATATATAAATGTAGTTCTTAAACTTATGTTCATTATATTTACTGTGTCTGCTCCTCCCTGCTTTCTCAGTTTAATGACGGATACCTGAAGGGGTCTGAGATAATGGCTTGTGTTGGAAGGCAACACTTTTAATCTGACTTTGCCACTTCATTGGCTCCTGATTTGGCCTAGAAGCGTTCCTAGAGGTTCTTTAGAACGTTTTGGGGGTCTCAATCTTCCTAAGGATGATTACTTAGAGCCACCTTTTATAATTAACTTGTTTTTATCTCTCCAAGTTATGTTCCAGAGCTGGGAGGGCAGAGTCAAGGGAGCTGCTCTAATTCTTGTCAATCCCTTGGCTGGTGGAAAGGGCGAAATGCGACAGGGAAGAATATGCCCAATCCTAATTTTAGTGCTAAAACTGGAGTGGGTGGTGGTCATATCACCTCCATTCCCACCCCTATTGGCTAGAACTTAGTCACATGATCACACCAAGCTAGACGACCATGCAGGGGAATTATACCACTAAAAGAAAAAGAGAATATACATATTAACAATTAGCAGTCCTTTTCTCATTGTTTGAGGTATCTGAAAGGGCAGTCTGTAGGAATTAATAAATAAGTCTATTTTGAAAGTTTCTATTGTACTATAAAATATAAGATGCAGAAGAGTGCACAAATCATAGGTGGATAGTTTGATGAATTTTCACCAAGTGAACACACCTGCACAGGGCGCTCCTTGGTCAAGAAAATGAACACTCAGTTCCCCTGAATTTGTTTCCTTGACATTGAGGCTAAGGAAGAAGTAATCATGTGGGGGTGGAGCCAAGGACGGTTGAAGGTGTTACCCGGCAAATAGGGTGTGGCTAGGAGGAAAGGAAGGGGGGGCCCTGCTCAGATTTGGAAGTCAGGGAGGGGCGTGGCCTGATGGCGTTACGCGTTAGGGGCGGAGCTTACTGGCCTGGAATCCCGGCTAGGAGGAAGGGGCGTGGTCAGGTTGGATGTTGCGGGGAGGTTAAGCCACAGCCACGGTGGACGGGGCTTAGCTATCCCGAAGGTGGCCTGGGTCACCAGGGGCAGGTTAGGTGAAAAGGCTGGCCGGGCTTAGCGAGAAGAGGAGGCTTGGAAGCCCCATTTACGCGCGAGGGCGGAGTCTCGAGCCGTTTGGGCTGACGCTGCGTCGGGGGCGGGGCTTTGCGCCGTCTATGTGGACGCCGCGCCGGGGGCGGGGCTGGTGGGCGCGAGCTCCAAGATGGCGGTGCCCAGTGCGGCCGTACCGGCTGTGAACGTGTTCCCGTTCCGCGATGTGCGGGCCGCGCCTGAT